AGCCAGGTGGTCACGATGAGGACGAAGCCGACGTAGATGCGCGTTCTGAAGTTGAGGCCGTCGGTCAGGCGCAGGTAGAAGGTGCACATGGCGGCCTTGACGATCCAGAGGAGGAGGGTGTAGGTCGACCACCCCGCGATCTGGGTCTTGGAGCCGTTTACGCGCAGGCAGTACTCTTCGCTGGAGGGGGAGAGGAGGCGCCGCTGCGAGTCAGTCATGCCGTCGTTGGCTAGGCCGTGCCAGTAGGCGCCGACGGAGTAGGCTAGGTATGTCTCGACCGAGTACACGCCCTGGAGGTGTTAGCCGTGGAGGAAAGGGGGTGAGGAGGCTGGGTAACGTACGGCAGCGAGGACCATGAGGTAGTCATCTGCTTTGAGGCCGCCCAGCCCGACGCTCGTTATCCGAGCAACGGTTCGCAGGGTTATGACGAATAAGCCGACGCCCAGGAGGGTGAAGGCCTCTGTTGTGAAGGCGTCCATGGTGAGGATTTGGGGGGACGCAGTAAGCAAGAACGCTGGAAAAGACCAAGAGAGTCGTTGAAAAATTTAGGAGAATGATAACGAATGTCCTTGCCCAAGTAGAGGTAGGATCCCGTGGGGAAGAGATGTCTTATCAAGTCAAGGAGCAGCTTAGAGAAGGGTAAGAGGGAGGTCACCACAGAGTGACCGCACTAGGAAAGCGAAATGATAGACATATCAGAGAGATATCAGGGTAAGCCATCCAAACTGTTGAAGGTGTTGTCAGTGATCTACAAAAGCAAGGCCTCTTTTCAGGCTGGACCTTGTGTCCGGCCCCTGAATAGCACATGTCCTCGGCGTCGGCACTCAAGAGACGCAAACAGGGCCCTGTCCGCACATGCGTTCGCCAGTGCCCTGGAGTCGCTTCCGGCTCCGTCGAGGAGTGAATGCCGCTCCACTGGAGCGTCGAAGTCTGTTCTGCGGAACAGCGTAGCATCGCAGGTACCTTGGCAACCTTAGCCAAGTTACGGGTAGAGGACGGCTTGCCAGTCTTGCGCACCACTGGTAGCGTGAGGGAGATATAGCAGCCCTTTCCTGTGCCTACCGTGGTAACGGGCAGGGCTATTGTGTGATGGCCCCTGTGATATGAGTGACCCGGCCGTTCTGGATGCAGATCGTCCCGGCATCCTGGTCCATATTCTGTCCTTGGACTGCCTTGACTGCTTGGCCAGTTCGTAGTCTGAGTCAGGTCTTTCGCCAAGCCCTATATTCGAGTCCTTATCGGCGATCGAGACGGAGCAAAGCCCGGTGAGTATCACCGAATGATGAATTAGCTGCTTCAGGGACCTACTGCCGCGAAGCCGCAGTCGACGCTGTCAACGGGACCGTGCTCCTCGAAGGTCAAGGTTGAGGAAGACAGGGTTTCCATCTGGTCACCTCCTCTTTAATGTCTTAGAGACGAGAAACTTACCGAGTTCAAGACTTCAGGTTATCCAGGCTCTCAGTGAAAACGGAAGCTCTTCTCCGTTTCAGTTGTCCAAGGATACCCGTACCTCAACTGGCAAGAACAACCGGGGTCGAAACGGTTCTAGCCAACCCACTTCCCGTCCCGTCGCTAAAGAAGGAGTGTGAGCGCCCCCACAACCGTTGGCAGCCAGGAACGCCGCTAAAGCAAGTGATTGCGCCCCACTCTGCTAATCAATCGCCTGCACCAAGATCGCCAACCAACTGAACCAAGTGCAATCACATAAATCGAGCAGTTTGTGTTTGTCCCTGACACATAACTTAGGTTGCCTAAGGTAAGAAAAGCAAACGTGATGCTGAGCTGCTCCGTGAAAGGCTTCTCTAGTGTGCCCAGAGGTCCAGACCTCGCATGAGAGAAGGAGGAGAAACACAAGCAAGAAAAGCCAAGGTGAGGGAGAGAGACAAACATGAGGGTTACAGTGATATTACATACATTACAATACGCACAATGAATATTGTCTTCAGCTCGACCAAGAACCAACACAAGCGAAACAATGATCACCACTGCTAAAGCGGTGGGGGTGCATTCGCTACAGGATCTATTGCTTTTGTGCTTTATCTCGACGTTGGTTTGATTCACCTGAGGATTCGAGTCACTCGACGAGACATTCGATGGGTTATCGCATTTCAATTCCTGCTTCAAGCAAGACGCTGTATCTCCAGGCTGGATAACCTGTACAAATCTGGCCACACTGTCGTCCTCACGTACCACACGATTACCTACGCAGCAAACCGTGGATTGCAACCGAAATGCGGTGATATTTGCACATGAAGCCAAGCCTCGCGAGCTGAGGTCGTTGCTGCAAACTTGGCACACTAATGCCGGATGGCACACCCTGGCCACACCCTGGCACGGCCCCTGAGGGCGGAAGGAGAACCGTTGCCCTCCCAAGTACTTGATGATTGGATAGATAAATTTCCAGAAATTGAGTCGCTTGCACGGTTGCACCGAGGATAACATGGCGACCTGCAGACTTTCAAGCCAGTCCCTTGTTGACTGGCCCCTCGATGTTCTGAACAAGTGTTACTTATTAACTCCTCACAATATAACATACCCACCCACGCGGTGAGGTTACCCAACGCTAGACACTCTGCTTCGACGTGATACAGTGACCCTACCACAACCGTGCTGCCGGCTATATCCATACCAAACATGGAGTCGCTAGACCTCGTTGTAATCGGCGCAGGTACGCAGTGCTGACCACCACATCATGCGCTTCATGAGCATCTGAAAATAATCATATTTCTCACCGGTACTGTACTAACATGTCAGCACAGGATGGTTCGGTCTTGCAGCCGCAAAGACATACCACCAGCTCCATCCGGACAAGAGCCTGGCCATCCTGGAGGCCAGCTCGACTCCGGGCGGCGTGTGGGCCAAGCACCGCCTGTACCCGGGCCTGAAGAGCAATAACATGCTCGGCACCTACGAGTATCCGGACTTTCCTCTGGACTCGGAGACGTTTGGTGTCAAGCCCGGCGAGCACATCCCCGGCACCGTGCTCCACGACTATCTCACTAAATATGCCGAGAAGTTTGGCATCATGGACAAGATCGGGTGCAACCGTAAAGTCACGACCGCGGAGCACCAGGAAGGTGCCGAAGGAGGCTGGATCCTGACCGTCCAGAGCACGGCGGAGGGAGCGTCTGACGAGAAGAAGATCCTCGCGCGCAAGCTGATACTGGCGACCGGATTGACCTCCGAGGCCTTCCTGCCCGACTTCAAGGGCCAGGATACGTTCGGTGTTCCCCTCTTCCACACCAAGGACTTCAAGCAACATGCCGACACCCTCGAGTCGGCCAAGACCGTGACTGTCTTTGGAGGGACCAAGTCGTCATTCGACGCCGTCTATGCCTATGCCTCCAAGGGCATCAAGGTCAACTGGGTCATCCGCGAGACCGGCCACGGCCCGATCTGGATCGCACCGCCCTACGTCACCCCGCTGAAGAAGTGGCTCGAGAAGCTCGTCCGTAAGTGACCTCCCCCGTCCACCTCACCTACCTTACAGTCACTGAAATCCGCCAAGACACCCGCATGCTCACCTGGTTCAGCCCCTGCATCTGGGGCGAAGCGGACGGCTACGTGGCCACCCGGCGCTTCTACCACGGCAGCGCCGTCGGGAGGGCGATCACCAACGCCTTCTGGTCCGTCCTCGGCAACGACGTGCTCGCCCTCAACAGGTACGACGCCCACCCGGAGACACGGAAGCTCAAGCCCTGGAGCGAGGCCATGTTCACCGCCTCGTCCTTCTCCATCCTCACCTACCCAACCGACATCTTCGAGCTGGTACGCGAGGGCACCGTCAAGGTGCACATCGCCGACATCACGCACCTGTCGCACCGCACCGTCCACCTGTCCGACGGCGCCGCCCTGGAGACGGACGCCATGGTCTGCGCGACGGGGTGGAAGCACCTGCCCCCTCTCACCTTTCTGCCGGCGGGCATCGACAGGGACCTCGGCATCCCGCATACCCCCAGTAACGAGCCGCTCTTCACGGCCGAGATGGTCCAGCGCGCAGACGAGGAAATCTTGAGCCGGTTCCCGAGACTGAAGCAGCAGCCCGTGCAAAACAAGAACCTCAAACCCCTGCTCGAGTCCGACGGCGTCACGACCAAGGACCAGATCAACCCCTCCACGCCCCTGACGCCGTATACCCTGTACCGCTTCATGGTGCCGCCCACGGCCAGCCTGCTGGCGCAGCGCGACATCGCCTTCGCGGGCGTGCTGATGAACTTCTCCGTCCCGCTCATGGCGCACGCGCAGGCGCTGTGGATCAGCGCGTATTTCGACGGGAAGTTGTCCGCTTCCGTCATCCCGCGTTCCCTATCAGACCCAACCACCGTCGGGAACGACGAGAAAGAAGGCAAGACGGTCGAGGAGCTGCGGTACGAGACGGTGCTGCACGCGCGGTTCGGGAAGTGGCGGTACCCGGCGGGCTACGGCACGCGGTTCCCGGACTTTGTGTTTGACGCGCTGCCGTACGTGGATCTGCTGGTGGGCGATCTGGGGCTGGAGATCTATAGGAAGGGGGGTGGGTGGGTTGCTGAGGCTACGCAGGCGTATGGGCCGGGGGATTATAGGGGGTTGGTGGAGGAGTGGAGGGGGAAGCATCTGGTGTAGGGGAGGTGTGAGGCTGGTTGGATGCTGGTGCATGTGGCCGACTGGAGTGTTTGGATGGAGAGATCGGGGGTTTATGGTGTTGCGAATGGCCCCTTGTGGTCAACCAGACGTGATGATGATCTTAGCTTTGGAGTCTGGGGACGCCTTTGGCCATGGTGTTGTAGGATCATCTTTGTATGTCAATGTCGCCATCAGACGTGGGCGTGCTTCAACCACCAGTTCAGATCGTAAATCTCCAGCTCCCGAGAACAGAGACAAGCCCCCCTTGACCTCGGTCGGACCACGCTGAGAACTACATGTTCAGACTGTCGACAAGCACTCTAGTGGAAGAACCTCGGTTAATCGCGCACGTCCCTCATAGGGCCAAATAGTGGACTCCCCACCATCAATTCATCCACGGCCTCGTGGCGCAATGGTAGCGCGTTGCTTTCCGGTTAGTCTTCCACTGCTGGCAGAGGTTGCAGGTTCGAGTCCTGCCGGGGTCGTCCGCTGGCCACCACCCGGTCTCGTGCTAGACATGCTGAGCATGCTGGTTCACGAGCCCGGGTGGGTGACTGCTGTTTTGCCATTCCTTTTTGCATTGTTCTTCCTATCTCTGCTGTTCATTCATTGCTGCAAAAGGATGTGTTGTTCTCATTTAGAGTCTCCTTCTATGTCGTCTTATTTTCGTGTCACAATTACAAACACTACACTGTCATGACGCCTCTTCGGACGAAAAACAGTGGCGTCCTCGAGGCACTTGTCGTCCAATGAAGTCAGCTTATTAGCTCGATTGCGCGATCCATGGCGGATTTCCCGTGATACTCCACCACTACCGCATCTCGACAGAACGGCAGCCAAGACTCTCCCCAAAATGCGCTTGCAATGAACTTTTTACGTACCGAGATGGGATCGTGGAGAGAGCCGGCAGTCTGGGCATCGATGAGCCTGGATATTTAAGCATGGGCGGGGCCGCTTCGTAGGGCCCTTGGCGGTGTGGCCAGGAAAACACTGACATCAGTGACGTCGGAGATAAGCATCTCGACGCGGCACTTAGTGGCAAGAGATCGTCACGACTCGCCTTCTCTCTCTGAACCTCAGTCACATTCTGTCTCCGTTCCACACCACCGGTACCTAACCACCAAGCGGTCATCCAACAACAACCCGCAACCATGTCCCTCCCGGACCGCGCCCCCCCGTCCGGCAGGAAAGAAGACGCCGTCTTCTCGTCCTCCGACCGCGCCGACGTTGATACCTCCTCCACCGAAGGGGGCGACTTCTCCCCCATCGACCCGCACAGCGGCGTCAAGCGCGGCCTCAAGACGCGGCACCTCAGCATGATGGCGCTGGCGGGCATCATCGGGCCCGGTTTACTCGTAGGGTCGGGCGGGGCGCTGAGCTCCGGCGGGCCGGCTTCTCTGCTGATCGGGTTCGGGGTCATAGGGCTCATCGCGTTCAGTATCATGCAGAGCCTGGGGGAGCTGACGACGCTTTACCCCAGTGGAGGTGCGTTTACGGGCTTGGCGGATCGGTTTGTCGATAAGGCTTTTGGGGTCGCGGTTGGGTGGAATTATTTTATTGTGAGTCTTGACTTGACTGTACCCCTGGGGTTTGGGGGTTGAACGGCCTGGGGGTTGAGACGAATGCTGACGACGACGACGAAGATCTGGTTTGCGGTGCTCGCCAACGAATACAACGTTATTAGCAGCCTCTGTGTCTTTTGGTCCGACAGGGTGCCGATCTGGGGGTACTTCCTCATCTTCTGGACTGTGTTCTTGGGCTTCCAGCTGCTCGGCGTCGAGGCCTTTGGCGAGGCCGAGTTCTGGCTGGCGCTGGTCAAGCTGTTTGGGCTCGTGGCGTACTTTCTGTTCTCTATCATGTGAGTGACCGTCCCTCTCCTGTGCGGGCATGGGAGAGCGAGCATAGGACTGACTCTGCCCCAGATACGTCTCCGGAGGCGTCAAGAACAACCCGGCCTTCGGCTTCCGCTACTGGCACGACCCGGGCGCCTTCAGCCACGGCTTCCGCGGCGTGGCCACCGTCTTCGTCTTCTGCAGCACTTTCTATGCAGGCGTCGAGAGCGTAAGTGTGGCAGCATCAGAAACTCGCAATCCCCGTGTGGCGGTGCCGAGGGCCATCCGCCAGGTCTTCTGGCGCATCCTGTTCGTGTACATGGGTAGCGCGCTGTTTTTCGGCCTGACCTGCCCGTGGGACGCCGAGGGCCTGTCGAAAGGCGCCAGCAGGGCGCTCAAGTCGCCCATGACTATTGCCATCCAGAACGCCGGGTGGGAGGGGGGCGTGCATCTTATTAATGCGTTCATCTTTGTTACCTGTCTGTCGGCCGTCAACAGCTCTATTTACATCGGCAGCCGGACGCTGCTGTACATGGCGCAGGACGGGAAGGCGCCGCGGTTCCTGGGGTGGACGGACCGCCGCGGCGTGCCGGTGCCCGCGGTTGTTTTTACGAATTTGTGTGGTGCGCTGAGCATGATGAATGTTAGTACCGGCGCGGCCACGGCGTACGGGTACATCGTCAACCTGTCCGGGGTGTCGACTTTTCTGGTGTGGGGCGCCATCAGCTTCACGCACATCCGGTTCCGGTCCGCGTGGGCGGCGCAGGGACATGACGCCGGGGAGCTGCCGTTTGTGTCGTTTGCGTACCCCTGGAACGCGTACTTTGGGCTGTTTGCGAATGTGTTTCTGGCGTTTGTGCAGGGGTGGACGACGCTGAGCCCGTTTGTGGCGGGGAGTTTCGTCGATGCTTATATCTTGCTGCCGCTGTTTCCGCTTATTTACTTTGGGTACAAGGTTGTGTTTAAGACGAGGTATTGGAGGCTTCAGGAGATCGATCTGATGTCTGGGAGGAGGAGGGACTTGGATGAGGCTAAGGGGGAGGATGTGGTCAGGGCGGAGAGGGACACGTCGGTGCCGTGGTATGTGCGGGTTTGGAGGAACTTTTGAGGGATACGAATTAGGGTCTGATGTGATGTAAAAGCGAATATACCCAGTGGGAGATAGTGAGGTACCTTAGATATGTAGTATCATGAGGTGGACGTTTATGTTGTCATGTGTCTCTCATGCAAAAGGGGGAGTACGATGGTCACCATGTTTTCATGACGGTCATTATCATTCAATCGTACCTAAGACATGTTATGTATCGAAGCTGTTTGTGTACATCGTCTCGTCATCTCGTGGCCCTCACGCCGCAGCCTGCACTGAAGGGGTAGCGACGTGCCCATTCTCTTTGGGAGAGCTTGGTCCGCCCCCCGACGACTGCGACTTCAACTTCGCCTGCAGCGCCGCAAAGTGCGTCGCCATAGCCTCGGCAATAAACTGCTCCCCGGTCACGAGGGGATACTTCTTCTTCGGCCCCTGGATCAACGCGTCCTTCCGCGGCTGGTTGAAGAAGGCGATGCTGTACCTCTCCCCGAAATAATCCCCCGGCTCGCAGGGCGCCTTGACCCGGTGGTACGTCGACTTGAACCTGTCGTCCGACCAGCTCATCAGCAAATCCCCGATGTTACACACTATCGCGCCCGACTCGAACGGGACCTTGGTCCACGTGTCGCCCACGGCGAACTTGGTGACTACTTCCCGCCCCGGGCAGATCTCCAGCCCGCTCTGGCCCTCGCGCTGGAAGAGCAGCGTCAGGAAACCCCAGTCGGCGTGGGCGCCCGCGCGGTGGTAGATCTTGCCTTCTGCCGCGGCGCTCTCGGGCGTGGCGTAGTAGTGCAGCAGCCGCAGGACGCTCTGGGCCTTGGGGTTAGTCGCGTCGTGGAACTGCACGAAGTAGTCGTCCGGGAAGCCCAGGCCGCGCGCGAAGCAGAGCATCAGTTTCTCGCCGACGGACTGCACGCGGCGCATGAACGTCTGGCACGTCTCCCTGAACCCGGGGACGTGCTCGTCGTCCACCCACAGGCTCTTGCCGGAGGGGGCGACCATGTTCTCGCCGAACTGCAGCTGGTAGGACTCCTTGCTGTCCGGGGCGCCGGTGGAGGGACGCACCTGGGACCTGTTCTCGTAGCCGACGTTTTGCGGGTTCCACGGGACCGTGGACTTGATCTCGTCGGGCAGGGAGAAGAAGGACTGCGAGGCGCCGAAGACGGCGTCTTGCTCGGCCTGGGTGATGCCGTGGTCGACGATGGCGAAGAAGCCGACGTTTTCGGCTGCGTCGACGAGCTGTGCTGTTATCTCGTCTATGCGGGAGTCGAAGTTGGCGAGGGATATCTGGATTTTGTGAGTTTGTGGTGAACCGTGTAAGTGAAGTTGGCAAGGGGGTCCAGACCTTTGGGAGCGGCCGCTCTACGTATTTTGTCTTTTCGACCATTGTGTCGGTACCGACGTTACGGTGTAGATGTAGATATGCAGGGTTGTGTCGAGATGTTTGAGGTGCGTAAGCTGGCAGGTTGCATGCAGGAGAGTCCCTGTTTCCCGGTTGTCGCCAGTGTTCTGTATCTTCCGTATTTGTACTCACTTCGAGATGTCGTGCATGCTCACATACAGGATCCTTGGAGTGGCGTCCGGAGGATATACCACGGAGCTGCATTCGAATGTGGTCGTCTCTTGGCGACAGCGACATGTGGGTGAGTGCGGCTGACCCTGACCGGGAGTTGAAAGTTGCCCCTCCGATAAGCACACCGGCGAATCGGGAGGCTTTGCCGTCCACCGCCGACGGACACTGCCGATGAGCGTACGACGGGGACATCTTCGTCCGATAAAGTTGGACATGAAAATCTAAGTACCTTCTTAATGGAGCAAAGTATTATGCTAACGCCGATGTGCTTCGGTCCAATGCCATATTTAGTGTATTTACCTCTTGTGAATGGCCGAGTCGTTGTGCATGCTGTCGCGAGTCGCAGCCGCCAAAGCGATAATGCTACAGTGACGATGAAGCTAACTATAACAAGACCGGCACAAAAAGATACGGCAATGACAAAGGTCTGACAAGTGTTGCACTGCCGCTCACCCGACCATATCCATCACCGTGATAGCCAACAACTTCGCATCCATCCGATAAAGGAACGATAAGATATAACAAGGCCTTCTCGACCAGGTTCGAAGCATATATTCCCGGAACTGGGCGTCTCGTACTCGGACATAATAATACTCTGTCAGCATCGGTATCCTACACGACAGACGTGATGCTGACTGGGTCTCATGTTGATCCTTTAAGAAAATTCGGAGCTCGCGCAACTGTCTACTTCAACTAGTATAACTGACACTCCACATATTATGATGTAGTAGTTGAAGAATACGAGGTGAATATGACTATATACGCATACACGACGAGAACTTCGAGTCGAAGACATATTTACCGAGATCTTCGGCCCAGGCCAAAACGACACAAACAAATGGTCGTATCTCAGCGATGAGTCAGGTAGGCCAGATAGCCGCATATCGGAAGAGGATGTTATATGAAGCTTTCTCACTCCAAGCGGTGATGTGCTTGTCTCCTCCGAGTGTTCTGGATCTTACCAAGCATGATTTGTAGATGATGTTGCCGAAG